CTCTTTAAGCCTCAGTTTCCTCATGTGTGGAATGGGCATGTTAACCCTTCCTTGTAGAACTTCTTCAAGCAAGCGAGGCAGCCACAGAAAATATGGCTCCTAAGGCCTTATAAGGTTTCCCCATGCTACGTCATTGGGTCCTCACAGCAGCTCTGACGTGCATGCTCTTACCAACTCCCATTTTATAAGTGAGGCAACTGAGACCCAGGGGTCAACAATTAAAGTCCCTTCCCCTCTAGTCCCTTGCTTCACCAAGATACGGACGAAGACTAATGATCTTTAGGTAGTACCAGCATGCATTTAGAGGAACTCTGAGTTTAGATCCAGGCCCACTGGGAAAGGGTACCATGATTGATTAGTGATGTCTGCTCTGGGATCAGAAATGGTGGACTGAGTGTGCTCCATTATTTTCCCCTTTTGCCCTCAAATCCTTCCTTTTGCTGATAGTAGCAGAGGTTAACTGTGACAACAAGTAGAACCAAGAACCACTGTACTGTGACTCTCTCCCAAAAAGTCTATAGGTATTGATGGGAAGTGGCATAGTTCTTAAATGGTGGGGCCTTGCCAGAGAAGTTAGATCACTAGGGTTGTGCCCTTGAAGAGGATACCGGAAATCCAAGTGTTTCCTTGCGGTCATGAGATAAACAGAATTCCTGTATCACATGCTCTTTGCTATGATGTTCTGCCTAATCATGAGCCCCAAAGCATAATGACCAAATAACCACATCCTCCTAAAGTTAATTACCTCAGACATTTTTTCACAACAGCAGAAAGCTAACACATGGTCCATAAAACAAATCTGCCCCTACAGCCTCGCCTCTCTGTTTTCCCATCTCTACCACTAAAGACATCACTAATACTGAGAAAGGCAGATGGACAGTTTCCTGAGCATCTTTTCAGAGCCTGATCGATACCATGTTCAGTTCTCCCTGTGGCACCTCAAGCGGCAAACTGTAAGATTCTACCGCTTCCACTTTACAGATGATCAAACGGAAGGTTTGGGCTGGTGAGTAGTTTGCCCTAGTCCATACAGCTGGAAAGTATCAGTGCCAGGATATTCCCATACTCCAACCCAACATTGCCCTTACCCTGAGGAGCGCCATCGGTGTATGGGATGCCAGGCTGTGGTTTCTGCCAGGCCTCTGGCAACCAGCATGAACTTAACAGTGATGTATCCACTTGTCTTCTCCATAAGTAGGGCATGTCTCCCCCTCCTTCACTTCACTTTGCTACATGCTTAGTCTCCATTCCTCCCCCCCCAAAAGCCCCTCCTCCTTCAGATCTGTCCCTTGAGGCCAGAGGGAAGCGGTCTTCCCCTACTGCACAGGGAGCTACATGGCACTGTCATCTGCTAGATGACAACGAAGAGGCTGTCTGTGGCATCTGTGCTAAGAGCCTGGGTCCCCAGGGAATCCTAGGCTGTTCTGCCCAGCAGGGGCCAGATGGAACCATTCCTCCACCCCCAGCCTTCCTGAGGAACACCAGGCCTCCTCCACACTCACAGCTCCAGGTAAGCCCTCGGCAGGCTGGGAAAGACCCACAGACGTCACTTCAAGTAGAGGAACCCCCTTTCCTTTTGCAGCGACATGGCCAAAAACTTCGTCTTCCCTAACAGGGTTTTCCTGTCCTCCTCTTTCTTGTTCTTGTTTTCTCTCTGCCTCGTCTTCTCATTTTCTGGGTGGGGTTGCTGCTGAGAGCTGTGGGAGGCCCCCCTACAAGGGGCAGAGACAGGTGTAGATATCTGAAGGCAAGATGGGGTTGGAAGTTAACAGACCTATGGCCCAGCCTTTTGTGGCTGATGTCTTCCCTACTTCTGGGAGGCCAGAGAAACATGCCACATTCCCAGTGTCTGCAGGTGCTGGCATATCTGGTTTCAGGGGCAGCTTAGCATCATTTACCCAGCCACCTTGCCTTTTGTTCCAGGGAGACGTGACCCATCCACTCTGCAGGCTTCACAAGCTCTGACTCCAAGATGGAGCCCTTCCTTTGAGAAACCTTTGGGCTTGGTTTTCCTTCTGTGGGTTGCACTTGTAAACCACAGGGGCCAGTGGCTCAGAGATATGAATGGGAACAAGCTGTCCCCTACTCTGTTCCCTGGCCGCAGCCTCTTTGCACAACCTGGCAAGAATATCAGGTGAGCTTGCTTGGTGGTCTCTGCCAGGTTTCTCACGGCCCAGAGCAGCTCTAGACTAGAAAAGAGATGTTTAAAAGGAGTGTGTGGCCCCAGATGGGCACTCCTGGGATTCCTCCTAAGTATTTCTTTTCTCTATTATTTTTAAGTTTTAAAATTTGAGACAGAGTCTCATTCTGTAGTCCAAGTTGGCCTCAAACTCACTCTGTAGCCCAGGCTGGCCTTTAAGTAGTGATGACCCTCCCAAGTGCCAGGGTTACAGTGTTCCCCACATGTCTGGCTCCGGAGAGCTTCTGTGTGTGGGCTCTCTGGAGTTTTGAAGTACCTCTGCCCTACCATACCTCCCAGGACCTGAGTGAGAGCCTTCAGTGTGCATGGGGTAGCAGAGTCCAGAGGGCACTGGCTTCATTCACTTGCTCATTTGCTCAACCAACACTTACTACCTACTAGGTGCTGGGCAGTGAGCTTGGTGCCAAGGACAACCAGAGGGCAAGGCCCAAGGAGACCTGCTTTCTGGAATCTCTCCTTCTACTGGGATGTGGACAGGTAAGCAAGCATAAAGGTAAGTGAACAACTTCTAGATTGTATCTGAAGATGGGAGCAAGGGGATCCAACGGAGAACTGTTGACCTCACTCAGAAACCCCAAGATTCCCCTGGGCAGTCAGCACTGATGGGTATATGCTCAACAGGGAGACTGGGGGGGGGGGTCACTCTATATTTCTGGCCTGAGGGCTGAAGTCAACGGTGGTACCTAAGTCAATATAAGGAAGGATGGTTTAGTTTGAGGCAGGTTGAGTATGAGGTGGGGTGGGTGCAGTAGGAAGCAGAGGAACCCAGGAAGAGGCTGGGACAGACAGCCTGGGAAGTGCTGGCTCAGAAGCTGCAGCCAGAGCAGAGTGAGAATGAAGCCTGGCTGTGAGGAATAAGGAGGGGGCTGGGCTGGACGCTGGGGCTGAGCAACGGGGACAGATGCAGTTTCCTCTCGCCACTGCCGAAGGGGCTACGGTGGACAGCATGGGTGAACAGAGTGGCCGGAAGAAGCTTGGAGGGGTCAGGGGTCAGGAAGGTGGAAGCCAACTGGGTCAGATACAACTGAGTACGGAAATGTGTGGGGCACAGTCTGGGGAAGTAGACAGATGCCGCGGTGAAGCAAACGGAGTGTGCTGGGAAAGGTGGGCCAATTCTCAGCTGACTCTGAAGAAAAGGAAGGAGTTGATTGGATAATTGAGGAGCCCCACAGTATTCCAAGTTCTCGGAGGCCCAGTTGCTTAGACACCCCTTCATCTCGGAGGTAGGGCTGTGTGACCCAGACAAGCTGGGGGTGATTTGAGACCTTCTGCTCCTTAGAGTTGCCTGCAGCTCCTCCTCACCCAAAGTGCTCCATTATGGAGCTATCCATTCGATATGCACTTATTAGACACCTCTTGTGTACCAGGCATTAGGCCTGTCAGGGTGGCGGGTGGGAGAAGTAGACCAGAAACATTCAGGAATTGCTTCCTTGTGGGTGGCCTACAAGCTTGAGTCCTCAGGAGGAGGCTGAGCTGTCTGGTGGCCATGGCTTCTACTAAGCCAGGCTTTTAAGTTCTAGAAAGCCTGCCACACTCAGCATTCTTAGCTCCTGGTTTCCCAGCAACCTTGTCTCACCGGTAGGGAGGGTAAAAACCCAGCTATGTTGGTCCTCTGCAGGGCAGGTATTCCCAGGCCTTGAGTAGCAGCTGGCCTGGGACAGGAGCTTTTGTTTTCTGGGTCTGCCCTGGCAGCTGTAACAATAATGACCTGGATATTCTGAGTTTACAAATCACAGTGCATCAGAAATAACTGGACTAGCCTCTTTCCTCCCCTGTGCCTCCCCTTCCCTGAGTGACCAGCACCTGGCTAAGTTTCACCACATCCCGATATACTCTTGACAGATGAGCCCACAGCCGGCCTCTTGCCTGCAACATCAATGGCGAGGATCCCGCCGAGATTCTGACTGAATCCCATCCACATGGAACATGCAGGCTCCCCCCTCACTCCCTCCTTCGCTGGAATTCCCTCAGGAGTTAGCATCTGCGGCTGTGACTGTGTGAGACACATGTCCTCAGCCTAGGACGGCACAGACCTTAGTGAGAGATGAGGGAAGAGTCAGTATGTGTGGCCACCAAGGCATCGGGTGGTGTCCTTTGATGTCACTTCAACACACGGCCACGACTTCTCAACAAGGGATTGGCGGTTAGGCCTGCTCCCCACATTACAAGTCATGCCAGGGCTGTAAGGAGAGGAAGCCGTTTCTTCTATGGAGCCACGAAGGTGGCATGAGTGGGTGGAGCCAACCTGGAGGGTCTATGGAGGCTGTTATCTTGAGTCCCCACCTGGCTAGTCTAGCACTTGGACTCCTCGCGCTGGCAATTCATGAGAAGAGACTCTGTAGGACCCAAATCCATTCGGTGTTTGCTGGCATGTAGGTGTTGAAAGAACCTAAAGCTTTTGTTTCCCACAGAAACCACATACTGTACTACAGCACAAAATCATGCTAAAGGCCCCGAATAGCCTGGCAGGGGCAAACATGCTTCTAATATGTCCCATCCAGCACTTCTCACAGTTACTTGGCCATGGCGTTGTGGGTGGGTGGAGAATGCATCAGTGCACCTCAGAGAAACCTTGATCTGCCTTTTGGGAACAGGACAAAGTGTGACTTTCAATTTCCCACTGCAGATGCTGGATGGTCTATGTCCCTGTCCCTGAACCCCAGATTCAGTCCCTCCACATTAGGGCTGGCTGGACTCCCCTCAGTGCCTTGGCCAAACATTCCAGCGCCACCCTTGTGGTTTCACCCTTTATCTCTGCAGTAGCTGGACCCCAACAGTGACGGACGAGGAAGAGACTTACAGGGGCAAGGGCGTTTGAAGGACATGTAATCCTTGGAGCAGAACAGCGGAGCCAGCCTGCCCACGAGCACAGCTCTGACTTCTTGAGGGGAGGCTCCTCCACTCACCTGTGGAGACACAAACAAGCAGGTGATGGGATGCCTACAGCCTCCTCCATGTCTACTGGCTGGGTGCTGACATCACCTGAACCATCAGTTTGGGGGAGTGGGTCTTATGAAGTCTGGGATCCCTGGGCTACAAAGTACAGGGGTAGGTTGAATGGGCATCGAGGTCACAGTGATGTGCAAGTCTCTCTCTTGGGTGGACCCTGGGGTGAGAGTGTGATGGCCAGGAGTTCTACTGTGGAGCACTCACTGTTCCCACATCCTCCATGGACTAGAGCATCCTGAGTACCTTGAGGCTGCAGGGTGAGTGAGTCTGAAAGACAGGCCCAGAGTCCTCATTTTTGGGGGGTGGGGGAGAAACAGACCCGGAGAAAAAGACAAGCTTGCTTGCAGTTTCGTGGCGGGCTTTGGGAGGCTGTTCCTTGACTCTCAGCTTGAACTGTGTTACGACTATTGCTCTAAGAACCTAGAGTGCTCCTTTCCTCCTCACTTTATAAATAAGGAAATTGAGGCTCAGAGAAGTCCTGCAGCCTTGCCAAGACCAACAGCTGCCAACTACAGGCTGAGGTGAGACTCCAGATCATCTGCTTCCATCTCAAGCCCCCGGCCAGTCAGTATACCCCTTTAGAAGGCACCTAATATATTAGATCACCAATTTAGAAATAAAGGCAAGAGAAGGGAAAATGCCTCTTTCCTGCCCCTAAGTATCCCCACGTAAACTCGGTGTAACATGTGGATTTTCAATGCAGCTAGGCTATGCCAGGTCACTTTAATGCTACTTTAGAAGGGGAAACATTTCAAAGTAACACCCTCTCATGCCACTAAAGAGCTGGACCCAGCCAGTCTCTCCTTGTGTGTCCTCAGAGGACACAGCACAGGTGCTTACTTCTTAGGGAGTTGCACACCTGACTTCAGAAACTAAAATGTACTTTAAGAATTATTATTATTATTATATGTGTATGAACATTTTGCCTATACGAGTGTGTGTGTCTGCTTGTGTACCTGGTGCCCTTAGAGGCCCGAAGAGGACTTTCAGTTCCCTGAAACTAGAGTTTCAGATAGTTGTAAGTCACCATATAGGCGCTGGGAACTGAACCTGGGTCCTCTGGAAGAGAAGCCAGTGCTATTAACTGCTGAGCCATCTCCCCAGTCTCCTAAAATGCACTTTTGGGGGTGACCAAGTTGGACCATGGATGCTAGTCCAGGGCTTCCTGTAAGGAGGCTGGTGGGGACCCTTCCCCCTCTGTCTCAGGGGCCACCAGCTTTTGTGACACTGGGGATTATGTCCTGTGGCCAGAATTTACCTGTGAGAGTCAGACTCAAGAGGCTCTCAGCCTGGCCTCACTTGGGAGCACTTTTCAAATGTGTTTTCTGCTCCAAACAGGCACAGAGTTTGGATGGTGCCCATTGGCCGGGCACACTGCAGTGGCAACGTTGGCTTTTCTGTTTAGTAGGTGAATGAGAGAACTGTGTTTGGGCTGCCCTCCTTTTTCTCCCTGATCCCTTAATACTGAAGTCACTGCCGCCACTTCCTGACATTGACTCTAGACACAGTGTTTCACCTCCCTGAACCTAGTATCCTAGGGAAGCAGGTGTAAGCTTGGAACAGGGAACCAGGTGTGTGCCACAGGCCTCACAGAGTTCCCTTTGTTCTCCGTGCGGGAGGAGAGGTGTAGCTGACCTGGGGACATCTCTCTAAGTACTGACTTGCCACTCACCTCTCAAGATTGTTCGGCTTTCCCCATGGGAACCCCAGGACCCCTAGGCTGGCCTGACATCCACTCCTAGTCTCTCCAGAAACCAAGGGAGAGTTTTGACCTGGTGGGAGGGAGGGTAGGAGGTCTTCTCCTAGGCTGCTAAGAGAACCAATTTCACACCAGAAGATTCAAGAAGGAGTTTAAGGCCTGTGACTCTACGCCTTCGAAGATTACACATGAGAACTGATGTCTGTATTCACATTTGTGCATGTGCAGTGTATGTACATACAGGTGTATGTTATGGGCAGCTCTCTCTCTCTCTCTCTCTCTCTCTCTGTATGCATGCACACATGCCTGTTCATGCCTGTATGTGTGTGAAGACACCAGGTGCCCTGCTCTAGCATTCTCTACCTGCTAATAAGCATGGTCTCTCACTGAACCTGGATCCAGCAAGCCCCAGAGATCCTGTCTCTATCCCCACCCACCCCCCAGCTTTGGGGTCATAGGCAGACATGGCCACTCCTGACATTTTTTAAAGTATGGGTCTGGGATCCTCCTGCTTATGGAGAAAGCCTCTTGTCTACTGAGCCATTTCTCCAGTCCCTGAGAAATCTCCCTTAAAGACAAAATGGATGTGTTGATCTCTTGCACAAACCCCTTCCACAGCTCCCCTGCCCCTTTAGGAAAATGTCCATTTTTCTCGCGCCAGCATCCACAACCCTCGGGCCTTCCTAACACTCCAGTGCACTGGCACGTCAGAGTTTAGTAAATGCAGGCTGCTAAGAGATAGGTACTTCCTATCATGCTGCTCCTGGGGACACCGGATGCTGTGGTGCAGCTCACCTTCTCTTGATGGGCTCCCCTTAGGGTGCTGCCTCTTTGGGGACACCCATCCATCCCTCTTACTGGAGCCAGAGACTCTGAGGTGATTCTCAGGGCAAGGGGAGGATGGCTGTGTCACTGTGCAGGGCCTAACAACTATTGTATTACATGTGGTCAGCAGCTCATGTCCTATGTGGGGACACTTGGCTCTATAGCCAAACACCTGGGACAGGACCTTGGGGGTGAGGAATATCATCTCAGTTTTGCAGATGAGGAAAGTGAGGCCAGATGTGGTCCCTTGCACAAGGCCACAGAAAAGAGATCAAGGCAGAGCTTCGTACATAGGGACACCGCCACTCCTGGCATCCCTCAGTTACTGCCTGTGGTCTCTCTGGAGATCTGCTGCCCTTGGTGTTCTGGCTAGCCCCACTGTCAGGCTACAGCAGGTCTCTTGGACTTTGGGACCACGTTCTCTCCTTGGCCCATCTACTTAGAGAGCTCCTATGGTGCCATCAAACCTCAGCTTTAGAGGTCTTTGTGAAGCTCCCTTGACTGCTGGTGACAGAGCAGTCTCAATGGTGGCACTTTCCCCAGCATGTGGACATCCTGGAAACTAACTCTAAATGATCCTAGATGCAGAGCATCTTGGGAGCATGGAGGGTCAGCATGATCTATGTGTGATCTAGTGTGAGCTGACCCTCACACTAGCTTGGGGCTCAGTTTAGAGGACACTCTCAAAAGTAGCTGGAATACTGGAGTAAGTCAGCCTTAGCCTTATCCTAACATATGGTACTCCGCAGAGCCAGCTTTCGAATGATGCCAAGAAGCAGGCCTTTTCTGTAGAGTTGTATTGCCATATATCCTGTTGCTGATGGTGACACTGGTGTTTACCATGGCCAGGGCCACCGTTCCCAGCACCCACCCCGTTTGCACTTGCCAGGTGTCCCCTTAGATCCTCGGCAACATAAAGAGCGGCTTTCCTTTAGAAATTTCTCTTTTTTCTTGTTTGCTTTGCTGTTGTTTTTAGACCAGGTCTTGCTATGGCGTCCATGCTGGCCTTGAACTCAAGACCCTCCTACTTCAGCCTTTTGAGCACCGGGTTACAAACATGTGTCACCACACCTAGGGCCCCATGCATGAGGGGCAAGCAAACTATTCCTGATATACATCCCTTGCCTTTAACGGGGTTTCTCTGGACTCTAAGGAAGCAGCAGACGGTCAGCCTGTGAGTCTATTTTCTCCTCTCTCTGCCCACTAGAGGGCCTCCAAACGACCTATAGGAAAATCACTTCCTGGTTGCATCAGACCCTGTTTGGGCAAAATTCTGTTGTAGTCCCCAGGCCATGTACGGTATCTACCCCAGGGTCCCTGTATGTGAATACATCTGTGAAGCAGTGGCGAGAGCAGTTGAACAAGCCTGGCTCAGATGGGCTGAGACCATTTTTTTTTTTTTTTATGGGGAGTCCTGGCCAGCGTGGGCCCATTTATTCAAGGTTACTATTACCCTGCCTGTCTCTCTCTGCGCTGAGCACCAGAATTTCAGCTTTTTCCTACTATGACTCATCTCTGACTGGGTTGTCTGGCTGGGAATGCAGGGGAGGGTGGGCAGGCAGCTCTCCCGGCTTTGAAGTGGCTGAATAGTGTGTGTGGCGAGACCACATCATTTGTACATCCTTTTATGTTCCTGCTCCTGCCATACCTCCACTCTGGGCTTGTGGGACACTCAGACCTGCATGAAGGGGGTGTAGGGCCTACTGGGAAATGGTGCCAGGGAAGACTTTGTGCCCAGTCTGGAGCTGGATCCAGGAGCCACCTGCCTCACATCAGAGGGAAGCAGAGACAGGGAAGGGCTTTGAGTATGGACTGGCTCTCTAGTCATGTCTTGGAGGCCATGTGACACACCTGCTCCATTGCTGTCCCATGCTGTCAGCTCACCAGGTCCTCAATATGAACCTCAGATTTTATAGATGCCAGTTCTGAGCTCCAGAAACAGAAAGGGACCTGTCGGAGGTGGTGAGCCAGCTTACACTAAGAGGGCTCCTAGGAAGGGTCATAGCTGGGCAGCCACAGGGTCAACTCTTATCATTTCTGGAAGACATCTCTGGCCTTAGGGTGACACTGAATGACAGGTGATGGATGAGGGGCCTCTCGGATACTGGTGCGAAGTCTGTGTGTACTGGGTCTCGGGAGAGGCCAGTGGAGCCAATCTTTGAGGGTCTGTGCACACACACAACTTTCCCACTAAAGGAGGAGCTATGGTAGCAATGGTCATGTATATTAGGTGACAGGCGAGACAGGATAAAGACAGGTGAGGAAGTAGAGCACTTTTACATAAAACAACTCTATCAGGCTTTGGTAGGAAGGTGACAGGTGAGCAGAGTTAAGAGAAAGTCAGCCAGCTGGGTGGATCCCTCGGGAGGAGACCTGGGTGAAAGGAGCAGAGTGTTCAAATGCCCTGGGCAGGAAAGGGAGGGTGAGTTTGAT